TAAATACTCGTATAGTACTTTAAATTTTATTAGGATTTTTTGAAACACGTTACAGAAAAAAAAAATATTGAAGCATGTGCTCAATTTGTATAAAAAAAATATTTAGTTAGAAAAAAAATTTGTTTATATTATAAAAAAACGGAAGCTTGTATAGCATATTGCAAATAACACACGTTAATTTCTAAATTCCAGGAGGAAACGGAAGCAGGACGGGATGGGGATCAAAAGTATTATTGGGTGAGGAGGGTTTTTAGGGGGGCAATTTAATAACATGCTTGGAGGTGGGGCCGGTATTGGTTGGAGGAAACAAATTTTTGGAAGAGGAGGAGCCGGCACGGTGGAATGCTTGGCGGAGGAGGTGCAATTGGAGGCGGAGGTAACAATTACGGGGGTGGAGGTATGGGGGGGAGGAAGGTATTATCGGAGGAGGAGGTTATCGGCGGCGGGAGGTATTATCGGGGGTGGAGGACTATCGGAGGGGAGGCGGTATTATCACGAAGGAGGAGCTGAAATTGGTGCCGGTGGTATAAATTTCGGAGGTAAAGCATTATAACATCGCATAAATTCATATATAAAACTGCATTTAAACAACGAAAAGACAATATCGTCAAAATAAACTCTAGTAAAATCGTTTTTTCTTGAAAAAGTTTGAAATTAAATTTCGAGGATTTTTAGTTAAACTCTGAATTAGATATTAAGGTAATTAATCATGCTTCGGTGGTAACCTCGGGGTAGCGGAGGAAAAATTGGGGAGCTGGCATTTTAAATGGGGAGTGACTCGGAGGCAATAATGATCGGAAATGGTGGACTCGGGGGGCGGTAGATCGGAAATGGTGGACTGGGAGGCGGTATGATCGGTAATGGTGGACTGGGAGGCGGTATGATCGGTAATGGTGGACTGGGGAGGAGCGGTTCATTGAACGGAAACGGTGGCATTGGCGGTGGATCTATGTTTGGAGGCGGAAAGTTTGGTGGTGGAATGGGAAATGGAGGTCTTGGAGGACTTGAAGGTCTCGGAGGTGGAAACATGAATAATGGTGGACTAAATGGAAGTAGGTCTAATGATAACAGGAAAAACTAAACAAGATGTTGATTCATCAATATAATAGTTTAAATATTCAAATAACTTATATCTAAGTTTTCAGTCACAGTAAAAAAGAGTAAAAAATGAAAACTTACGCTCATACTTATGCGTATTGTACATTGTATATTATGAATATATATATTTGACATCGTCATAAAGTTGTCAATAACTGGTATTAACAAATCCTTGTCTAGACAACGGTTTTGGTGGCAGTAATGGAGCAATCGGTGGAAATGGTGGCTTTGGAGGCAATGGTGGCCTCGGAGGTAATGGTGGCTTCGGAGGCAATGGTGGTCTTGGTGGAAATGGTGGACTCGGAGGAAATGGTGGCCTTGGTGGTATGGGTGGTCTTGGTGGCCTTGGCGGTATGGGTGGACTTGGCGGTGGATTTGGGAAAGGTTCAATGGCAGGTTCCGGAATTTTAGGTATTTGTTAGATACATCTAAATTGATTATGAATACACATTCATTTTGGTGTGTCATTCTGATACAATGATTGACATACCTGCTTTTACATACACATTTCTTTTAATAAAAACACGATTCGAACATAAATTTGAAAATGACTTGTCATTGTTAAAAACTTATTTGATTCTCTTTCATTGCATATAAAGGGAACAAAAAGAGACAAAACGATTGAAATGTATTCTTATTATTAAAAGGTGGTGGAAACCTTGGAGGCTTAGGGGGCGGAAACATTGGAGGCGGTGGTTTAGGAGGCGGTAACATCGGAGGCGGAGGCTTAGGGGGCGGTAACATTGGAGGCGGTGGTTTAGGAGGCGGTAACATCGGAGGTGGTGGATTAGGGGGCGGTAACATTGGAGGCGGTATGGTGAATGGTGGCTTTGGTATGGGAGGTCTTGGTGGATCAGGTATGCAAAGTTAGAGAACTGAAAGGATTAAGAAATATAAATTTCCGTAGTCTAATGTTGTCTACTGTTAAATATTTTACATTGTCACATTTATCTTGGGTTTGCTATAAAGTTTGCCTTCTGAAACATACAATGACCTTGTTTGTAACAATTTACTTTAAAGACATAGACATCTTAACTCAACCTTGCAAACAACATATTATTTGAACTCTAAAAACAACCTCTCCATTTTTATGATCTTATTTAACTTATTAAACATATAAGTCACTTCAACTTTATACAGATTAACTTTATCTTTATAATCTTTTTTTTTAATTATAGATGTCAGTGACTAAATACACACTTACCTTTATTTCAGGAGGTATGAACAGACTAAGAAAATCCTATTAGACACTTGTGACCAATCCTTGGAAGTACAATCCTTAAAATTTCGCTTTTTTCGCCTGCGTGATTGCATTCTTTATTTTTAGATCTACCGTGAAATGAAATTATGACATATGTCGGACACTGTGCTTTCCTACAATATATTTGTACTATTTCTTAAATTGTTACTTTATCGACGAAACTTTGTGTACTTTGAAGATTAAAGATGAATTAAATGATGATGATAATGATGATGATGATCTAGATTGTTAAAACAACAGATGATATGAACAAACTTGTTGGACTTATAATTAAAATATAGGATGTAGCTTCCTGGTAATGGTTTATTACACCTATCTTTATAGGAATGAATGTTTCGTATATGAGTTCGTTTATATACGAATGATAGTTTATGTAATCGGAAATAGAGATAGTGTATATAATATTTATGTCATAATTTGTGTCCTTTTTACATTTATATATTAATAATATTTTATATGTGAATAAAATAAACTTATGCTGCATTGAAAGCTTGTGTTTGTGTGTATTTTTGTTTGGAACGGTGTTTAAAACTTGACCCATTTAGTTTTTCCTATATGATCTTTTATGCCTTAACATTCGTGTCCGTATGGAAACAAAACTCTGCTTCAAATGAAATTTAGATAATATAAATCTATGATTGTCAATGTTAATCCAATTTCAAAAAGAATTTAATTTTGTCAAAGTTCGATTTCTTTTTCTTGATATAAAATCGAATTTTAATGAAAATAATATAAAACAGATTTTTAAATGAACAAACGAGGTTTCATCAAGATAATCCTGGATACCCATACTACGAGTGTGTGCAATAATGGTAAAGAACTTCTCTGTGAACATACAGGAATAATATTAAACATATATTGCTTTTGTACCGCATGAATGTCTAAAATATTTCCCGTATTGGAAAGTACCAAATATGTTTCATATTGAGCAGATGAGTTTTCGTGACCTCCGTGTATTTCCATAAATAAAATAATCCGTTAACGATAAAAGCATACAAAATATATCTGTACAATGAATTGAATCATCTTAGAAATAAAATTAAACTGCCACTGATAATTCTTAAAAAAATTATGTATTTTCATCATATTTTAAAGACAAAATTAATAGGTTACTTTAAATTGTTCTGTACAATACGGGATATATTTGGGCTCATACTCAGACTGCTTTAGAAATCGTATTATGATTTCTTCAGCTCTAGACTTGACCAAATGTATTTATGCATTACACAGAGCAATATTAATCATAAATAACATATGAATATAAACTAACAAACATCTTTATCTACAAAACTTGCAAATTTCTATGATAGACAACATTGCATAATGACGAGGAAAGAAAACTGAAAAAAAGTTTAATCATTTTCTCAGTTTTGTAACTGCACAAAAAGATCATATTTTATTTACTATATACTAAGCAGTTAGTCGATTTACACGAAAATGAAAAACAATAACATTTATATCCTGATTTGAACCGACAAATATAAATAAGGTTTTTCGTTTGAGATAGTATACTATTTTTACATAAAGTATAGAGAATCTCAAGATTAATAATATCTGTCATATTTTGCGGTTCGGATCGGAATATCCGTCCCGAGGTGATCCGCCCATTGGGTGGTAACGAGGCTTGCCGAGTTACCGCCCATGGGCGGGTGACCGAGGGACGGATATTCCGATCCGATCCGATCCGATCCAACAAACATGTAAACGGAAACGATCTCCTTCCAACGAATCAGTCGGCCTATCGTCAGTTTCACTCCTGTGAGTCAGCCCTTCTTAGACTCGTAAACGACATTCTTGATGCAATGGAGCATCAAGAGGTCACTGCACTGATAGCTCTAGATTTAAGTGCTGCTTTTGATACTGTTGACCATAACATACTGTTAAATGTTCTTGAAAGTCAATATGGCGTCTTTGGATCTGCGCTGGAATGGATAGATTCATATTTGAGGCCGCGTAGCTGTCGAGTGAGTGTTAACTCGAATGTGTCATCAGAACGGGAACTTGACTGTAGTGTCCCCCAGGGAAGCTGTTTGGGCCCTTGGCTCTACTTGACGTACGCAGGAACTATCTTTGACATTGTACCTCCCTCCATTTCCCGTGCACGGATTTGCCGACGACCACGTTGCGAATAAACGTTTTAAACCATCACCTACCGCAGAAGCAAGCGCAATTCGGGACCTCCAGGACTGTGCAGTGCATATAAATATGAGTGGATGAACAGCAACAAGTTAAAAATGAACAATTCAAAGACAGAGTTTATTCTTTTCGGAAGTCGTCCACAGCTGAATAAGTGTAACACCAAAGAAATCAATATATGTGGTAATGTTATTGAATCACAACATTGTATACGGTATCTTGGTGCTTTTTTGGATGAGTCTCTAAATTTCAAAGATCACATTAAAAGAAAGTGTAGAACTGCTATGTTAAACTATTTCAAGATCAAGAGCATTCGAAAGTATCTGACAAAGGAAGCCGCTGAAACACTTGTTTTTATCTTTAGTAATATCCCATTTAGATTATTGCAACATCATTCTGTACGGCATATCTCAAAATGAATTAGCCAAACTTCAACGTATTCAAAATATGTGTGCCAAACTGGTGTTAGGTCGTTCCAAGTATGATAGTTCTAAACAGGCATTATTTGATCTGCACTGGCTTCCGATTAAAGCACGAATCAGTTTCAAGATACTGACATACATGTATAACTGTTCGGTAGGAAACGCACCATCATATTTAATAGAGCTTTTGTCTCATCAAGTGTCAAAACGAACCTTAAGATCATCTGAATCCTCAGCTGGTTGTTATGTTGTTCCTTTTAATAAGAAGAGGACTTTTTCTGACAGAGCTTTTAGCACGATAGGACCAAAATTGTGGAATGAACTACCTATTAATATGAGAAAATGTGAATCTGTTGAAATTTTCAAAAGACAACTGAAATCATTTTACTTTCAAGGACTTTTTTGCACTTTTTTAAGTGACGCTGAAGGCATTGTCTGTTCCTAATTGTTTTGTGCATGTTTGTATATTTCTAGTGTTTTTATTATTTTCATTGTATAATAATATAATAAAGTCTAGCCCATGTGTTATCATGTGCAGGGGTGCAGGGGTGTAGATTGTTACATGTTGGTGGGGATTGACCCAATCACTGTGACCGTCGCACTGCTGGGAGTTTTGTGTATGGTAGCACTGGGAGTAGCACATATAAGGTATATAGCTGTACAACGCCATTGAATATGTATTCTATATGTAGAAATAGGCGTTAAATCAAGTTTTCAAGTTTTCAAGTTTTTTTTCAGATATTTTTTCTTGCATATTCTACCATATTCCATTATATTTTAAATTCTTTATCTTTATTTTCAATGAAAATTTATATCATTACAACCGTAACTACTTTCATTCAACAGCGTAAGAATTACAAAATCATTCATAACGGTAAAATGACGTCATCTTTATCGTGCCATTGTACAGCACGCGACTCATCTGGAACCCCCCATGCCAGATGAAATTTCCGGCATTGGAAAAACTAACGGAAACGCCAGTCTGATATGCAAGAAAGCATTGTCTTATTTACACCAATTGCCAAACTTATCTATCCTATCGGGTAGAAGAAAATAAGTATACACTTCAGTTAAGACAATCACAAAAACAATATAAGTGGACGCTTCTAAAAGGTTTCATCTCTTTCATAAGAAACAACATCTGTTTACAGTTGATATAAATGCTTGTATTTTACAAGGGTGGTCGAAATTGCAGCAGACTATCTACTTGTACAGCTGCTTTCGCTATCAAAGAGTCCTTAATGCCGAAAAATCATTGTTTTAAATGAAATTCAATCCATTCGGCATTGTTCGCGTTTATGTTTGATAAAGATTAAGAGTATATATAATTATTACATTTAATTTGTAAATTCTAATAGAACCTAAATAAATATGCGTTTGCGACAAAAAAATATGTCGGGTATTATTTTCGATTATCACCTTTGTTGCAACAGCGGGGTATTCTTTTTAGACTTTTTAAAAACAGGTATTAACTCAGAAACATTTCGGACTAGACATCCATATCTTTATAGTATGTCAATTTATGTGATATGCGTACGTGATTTAACTGGTAAAATCGTTACAAGTAAGCATGTAAAAAGGTATCACATATTTTCCTCGTAAACCTTCATCCCACACGACACTTTTCCTTTTCTGCTTTTTTTTTAAATTCTTGTTTTCACACCTGTCCCGCATATTTTTTTCGCCTCAAATATTTTATGATTGTGAGAAAGGGAAACAAGTCTTTGCTACAGTCATGTTTTAATTATATTTAATTAATTATATTAATTATATTTCAATGCCAGAAATAAAAGATGTGAAAAAAGATATATGAGTAGGGCCATTGTTCTTGCCTATACAACATTCGCTTTCATAACATTGTATGTGTACTTAACATGGCAAGATTTTACAAATACTCATATGTTCTTACACGTGTATCTTTCAGTTTTGTAACTTTTGAGTGTCACTTCCACAAGGAGAGCAGAGACTTTTATTACAGGTAATATAAAGCTACATGGAGAGACTACTCTGTCCCCTACTTTAGTCGTGTGCATAGAAAAAAAACAACAATATTTGGGGAAAATTTAAACAGGACAAAATGTTTATATCTGCCACATTTATTCTAATAAAAGGTGACATTTTTTTGGTAAAAGGGTAGCAAACACGTTTAAATTCATTTAAGTGTAAGAACCCCAAATTTCATTGATTACCATAATATCTTGTCAATTTTCCTTGAAAAACACTGCCGCCATCGGGCACCAAACTGATTCGGGGGCCTTTTTCCTTTTTTCATAATTTTTTGAGTCTCAAAGCATTTCCACAATTGAAAAAATATTTTTCGTAAGTTTTATATTAAAGCTTTTAGTGGGTTTTGAAATTTTAAATCAACCAAGGGTTAGTTGATAATTTCACAGTGAGAATTATCAAAAAATTATAAGTTTACATCCAAAATGAAAGGGATATACATTTTTATGTTTCCCCTATTGGTACCTCAAAATTATGTTTCTGCTTACAAAAAAATGTATTACCTTTTCAGTATTTTGTAGCAAATTTTAAACAAAAAAACAAAAGTGAAATTGCATTTAATAAATTAAACTTAAATTGAATGGCAATGGATTTAAACTCGTAAAACTAAGATAAAAAATAAAATTTGTGTACGTTTGCGTGCCGGCGTGCGCGTGCGGCGTGCGTTGGCGCGTGCGTGGTGCGTGCGTGTGTGTGGTGGTGGTTGTGATTTTAATTCATTATCACGAATTTTCAAAAAGTTTTATTATGTTTTTTTTTGAAGCCACTCGAATGAAAAAATGACGAAATCCAATTTAAACTACGCAAAACAAAATTTAAGTTTTTATGACAGCCAAACTGATTAAGGCGTTTTGCAACTCAATTCTTTACTTTTTATTATTCAAATTTTAATTTTAGTTTCATAGTAAAAAAATTTTCTCG